TGTTATCCACGCCGACTTTGCCAGTCGGAGATCACTAAAAATAACATTAAAGAAATGTGTGAACTTGCAAGTACGATGTCAGACACTGTAATATGCTCTGGTCCCCTCCCTGCTTACTAGGGCTGGGTATCGTTCAAAAATTTTCGATATCGATACCGATACCTTGACTTCGATACCGGTTCCTGAACGATACTTTTTTCGATACCAATTTTATGAAATCAATTTTAACAAGATTACATTATCTAACAAAAAAACTTTGGTTTTATTTTTCAGCTTGTTGATGTTTATACAAACTCAAAGACTCATCTCCTGAGCCACTGCACAAAGGAACAAAATGTAACCAACACAATAAATCAGTGCAAAATAGTTTTAATAAAGCTCAAATAGTCTTCAGTTTACACATCTGTTAGGCTACATTTACACTAGTGCGTGTTCGTTTTAAAACGCATAGCTCAGACAGAATCATGATTTCTATTTATTTTCCACTGATATACTGATGATTTCCCTTCACTATTAATATAATAGACCTAATATTACCACCCAAGCAAACAAAAATATTTCTTAATCAGTGGAAACCGATACAGTGTTTTCTATCGGAATAAGCGCTTGCGTTCAGTCAATAAAAATCTTTCTATTCACATTCTATTCGCGTCTATTACCGTTTTCTTTTTTCTCTTGCCCCGTTACTTTTCTCTCTACCGCCGTTTTTTTTCACGAGTTCATCAAACAACTGTGGTAAGTAAGAATCATTCATCAATCACGGTGAGTAATGGCTTTTTCTCCTGCTATTGTTGTTTGCACCGCTTGCCACATGTATAGTTTATCTCTCTCTGTTGGCGACGAGGGATTCTCATGTGATAAATGCAGGGAAATAGTTAGGCTGACAGAGAAGATTTCAGAATTAGAGACACGCATCCAAACTTTAATTGAGGACAGTAAGAATGTGAGGGCTCTAGATACGGCTTTGGATGCGACTAGCTCAGGGAGTCCTGTACATTGTTCGGTTCCGGTAACAGAGCCTCTGCAGCAGGGCAACTGGGTTACTGTGAGGCGGCATAGTCGCGGGTCAAAACACAGCTCTACCGTTCCGATCAAAACATTAAGCAGGTTCTCCCCACTCAGTGACGCACCCGCTGAGAAACCTGATCAAAGTGCTCTAGTTATTGGCGATTCTATTGTACGGAACGTGAAAATAGAGACACCAGCCACCATAGTCCAATGTTTACCGGGAGCCAGAGTGCCTGACATCTTGGCAAATTTAAAAGTGCTGGCTAATGCTAAACGTAAATACAGTAAGATTGTTATTCACGCCGGCGCTAATGATGTTCGACTTCGCCAGTCGGAGATCACTAAAAATAACATTAAAGAGGTGTGTGAACTTGCAAGTATGATGTCAGACACTGTAATATGCTCTGGTCCCCTCCCTGCTTACCGTGGTGATGAGATACATAGCAGACTGTCGTCACTCAATGGCTGGATGTCTAAGTGGTGCCCGCAGAATAACATAGGTTTCATAGATAATTGGATGAGTTTTTGGGGCAGACCTGACCTGTTGAAAAGAGATGGTCTTCATCCCTCCTGGGGTGGTGCTGCTCTTCTCTCTAGAAAATGGCACATAGTCTTTTTAGTTTGTACTTGACTAACTGGGACCCAGGTCAGGAAGCAGACAGACTGGCTAAACCGACCATCTGCTAGCCGCCTCATGTCACAGAAATCAGTTAATTCTCAGCACATTCTCAGAGACCCTTTCACCTAGATATCACACTATAGCGACTGTGTCTGTTCCCCGAACGAGAAAATACAAAAAACGTCCAAACCAATTTAAGAGTAACAATTTAATTGATGTTCAACAAATAAAAAATGTATATAATACAGAGAAACAAATTATAAAGCTTGGCTTATTGAATATCAAGTCCCTTTCTACGAAAGCACTTTTTGTAAATCACTGATCATAACCTAGATGTGCTGTTTGACAGAAACCTGGCTAAATCCTGATGATTACATTATTTTAAATGAGTCTACCCCCCAAGATTACTGTTATAAACATGAGCCGTGTCCAAAAGGTAAAGGGGGAGGTGTTGTTCTGTCACCGATGGAGTTTTGGTTCCTTGCCGCTTTCGCCTCTGGCTTGCTTAGTTGGGGACACTTACTTTCCAGCGATATCGTCGACTTGATTGCACAGATACTATTTAAACTGAACTGAGCTGGATGATGACATCACTGAATTCAATGATGAACTGCCTTTAAATGAAAATTGAGTGTTTACTATTGTCCTTTTGCATTATTGACACACTATTTTCCTATTTAATACTGTAAAGCTGCTTTGACACAATCTGTATTGTTAAAAGCACTATATAAATAAAGGTGACTTGACTTGACACATAAAGGTACATGCAAATTGCAATGTTTGCATAGAGTGCATTGTTTGCACTCTAATGTTCTTCTTGGCACTCGAGTTCAAGCCTGAAGTCAACTACCTGCTTTGCTATCTGCCAATTACACAACATGCACATAATTAGTTTTGTAAAGAAAACACTGAAAATATCATAAATGCTGATGCAACTAAAGCTTCCTCTCAGACTAGTTAGTGACAATGGCAAACGGGCAGATTTTTGTTGACCAGATGAAACACTGTCCTCCTCATTACACATGCATATGTGACCCTGGACCACAAAACCAGTCATAAGTAGCCTATATTTGTAGCCATAGCCAAAAATACATTGTATGGGTCAAAATGATAGATTTTTCTTTTATGCCAAAAATCATTAGGATATTAAAGGTGCCATAGAATGGAAAACTGTATTTACCTTGGCATAGTTGAATAATAACAGCTCTGTACATGGAAATGACATACCGTGAGCCTCAAACACCATTGTTTCCTCCTTTTTATGTAAATCTCGAGAATGCAAAAGACCACTGAAAAATAGGCGAATCAGAACATAACACCGACTGTGACGTTACAGTCAGGATCACTAATAATTACGCCCCCAACATTTGCATATACCCGCCATGTTCTATGCCAGCCATCAGCCGAACCTGCACACAAATAACGCGCGTTCTAATAAAATAACGCGAGCCACTAAAGGGACATGGTTAGCTGCTTGCTAGCGGTAGCCTGTTACATTATAGTACAAAAGATTTCACTTACCACATAAACAAGAGAAGAGTAAGGAGAGATGACCAATGATGATGGCGAATGATTTACAGATCCTGAGCACCACTGACAAGCATCTGATCTTGTAAAATGTGTGGTAAGTACTGCCGCTGTAGTTTACACAGAGCACGTGCGATCGCAAATCTTGAAAGTGAAAGTAAAAAGTGATCATGCATATTCGCATATCCCCGCATATTAATAGCGGCTCCCTGATGCCCGCATTTTATATACAGTATAATTACCCAACGATATAACTGCGAGAGAAAGTATTGAAATATATATTTTCCCTGTGTTTCCTTCCTGCTGTGTGAGCTACTGAAATGAGCCGCACTGTGAAACAGCCAATCAGAGCAGAGCTCAACATTATTATTCATGACCCTTCCAAATAAGGTAAAAACAGACCATTTAATTCTAGGGACAAATCCTAGGGTTGTAAATGGACATATAAAACCTTTTCTGGAGATTTTTTGCCCTTACCTAAGCCACAGATATCAGAGAACAATTTAAAATATTGTACGCGCGTTCTAATAAAATAACGGGAGCCACTAAAGGGACATGGTTAGCTGCTTGCTAGCGGTAGCCTGTTACATTATAGTACAAAAGATTTCACTTACCACATAAACAAGAGAAGAGTAAGGAGAGATGACCAATGATGATGGCGAATGATTTACAGATCCTGAGCACCACTGACAAGCATCTGATCTTGTAAAATGTGTGGTAAGTACTGCCGCTGTAGTTTACACAGAGCACGTGCGATCGCAAATCTTGAAAGTGAAAGTAAAAAGTGATCATGCATATTCGCATATCCCCGCATATTAATAGCGGCTCCCTGATGCCCGCATTTTATATACAGTATAATTACCCAACGATATAACTGCGAGAGAAAGTATTGAAATATAGGTATATGTTTCCTTCCTGTTGTGTGAGCTACTGAAATGAGCCACACTGTGAAACAGCCAATCAGGGCAAAATATATTAAAACTTAATTTTTGATTAGTAATATGCATTGCTATGAACTTCATTTGGACAACTTTAAAGGCGATTTTCTCAATATTTAGATTATTTTTTAACCTTCAGATTCCAGATTTTCAAATAGTTGTATCTCAGCCTAATATTGCCCTATCCTAACAAACCATGTAATAATGGAAAGCTTATTTATTCAGCTGTCAGATTATGTATAAATCTCAATTTACAAAAATTGAATCCTTATGACTAGTTTTGTGGTGCAGGGTCAAATATGAGCTAGCACAGGCCAGTCCTATAACAAAATATGAGCCAGATTTACTGAAAGCCCTTATAATAATAGATACACTCTGAATTTATATCCTGCTTTAGCATCCGATTTCACTTCCCCCCCATTAAATCAATACAACCATTCTACATTCCCTCAAATCTGTCATAGCACAGTTCCCTTGCAAAATAAGTAAACTGATAAGCAAGACCATCACTTTTTAATGTTATTGAAAATGTCATATGCCTGTTTAGCTTATAAAGTGGTCTGCATCAATAACTGCATTAAATGTTCTTAATCAATCCTGACGCAGAGAGCACTGGCAGCACATCGACGCGTTACGTCAATATAGCCTACATTCCCAGCAGTGCTTCCTAAAAGTCCAGTGGGTCGGCTGCAGAATGTGTATGCATCCTCCTACATAATATACTGAGCAAAGCATCAGCTTAAACAGGGGAGCTGAGCGGTACAGTTATCGAAAAGGATGGCCAAGAACCAACTAAATGGACCGATAAAACCTCTCATCCATTCTTATCCACCTAACAGCCCCAAAATCAATTCCAATCAACCTGCCAGACGTCAGAGGGGAGAGGCTTCTTGTGCTCAGATACTCACACTCACTGTACTGCTGCAGCTGGGAGAATTCGGCTGGGCTCAGACACACCCAGTCTCCCATCTCGCCGGTCAGAGCGCTCACAACGATCCGGGGGAACCACGCTGATCGTCCTCAGGTGAGGTATGAGAAGAAGATGGTACGATCTGGCATGATCATGCTGCCTTTTCTTAGTAGCAGATGGTGAATTGGCGTCCCCGACGTGGAGTTGCGAAACAAAGGAGGGACACAAGGACGAGGGCAGTGTGAAGGTGAGGTGTGTCGCACCACCGGTTGGGGCTGGGATTGGAGTAGCTCTGTGATGGGAAGATGACAGGTGCACTTGGAGGAGCAAGTGATGACCTTTCCACCGAAGTTAAAATTTTCAATCTGTAGAATCAGAGAGAGAGAGAGAGAGAGTGAGAGAGCGAGAGAGAGAGAGAGAGAAGAAACAGAGTTAGTAACGTCTCAAAGCTGACTTAAGGTTATCGACTAAAGTCTCTGATTCTAGAAAACACACCAATAACAACAGAGCCTGTGTGTCTGTAATATCCTTATTGCTTCTCCTAGAGATTAAATGTAGAGAACATGAAGACGTTTGCTGAAGTCCTGCATCTCAAGAAATCTCTCATGTGTCTCCTCTAGAGCGGCCTTCAAACTTTTTCAGGCTAGAAATCTCTTGGTAGAGTCCCCCTTTTACATTACTGAGCGTTGCATTTCTAGTCTGGTCAAAATATTTAATATCAAATCATATGTAAATGAGTGCTGTCAATCATTAAAAAAAAAACCTAATTAATCACACATTTTTTTCGCGATTAATCCCACCTAACATTAGTTTTAAAATATTATTTTGTATTGCAAAAATTTCACATTCAATCTTTCAGTTAATGTAGAAACAACATAAAGACAGTATATTTTAATATTTGTTTAATGGCATCTTTATGACTGAAGGTGAGTATACTACCAATACTACTGATGTCTCTATGAAGTTGTTTTTTTCCTATAGACATTCAACATTACAGTATAATTGAGAGTCATTATTATAATAACATTATAATAAATTAAAATAATTATAATTATAATAAATGTCATATTTACCTGTGCCCTTTAGCAAGTAGGAAATATTAATGATTAATGATTTCCTCTTTTTTCTTTTGTTCTTTGATTAACAGACATCACAGCAGCTGGGTTATTAACTTATTTTGGCTGCTTTAAGAGCTGCCGCTTCTGAACATGATCTGACACGCATCGCATTTTCTCACAACCCTTTACCTTTTCTGACCCACTTCGTCTCTACCAATGAGGTGACGAGTTGAATCGGGTGTGTTAGATGAGGGAGACAGGGCTGGGGAGCTCCAGGACAGTTTTGAAAACCACTGCATTTCAGAGACATGTTCTTAACAAATACTTGCATGTATGCACAGTTTTAAGGCAGCTTTCATCACCGTTTTTGTAATTTCATGACTTATGACGACATAACTATGACAATGCATGCTTGCCAATGCAAAGCCTCTTTTTGTGTTACAGTTAGGATTTACCGAAGACACACAGTGAAAGAATACAGATGAAAGGGCGAAGACACAGTTACACAGATGCAACATTTTTGTGAAATAAATCATATAAGGTGAATTACTAAGGTTTGTGGTAGTCAATTTACTGGTATTTGCACCATTATATAAGGCCCCAAAAAACATGTCTTAAACCACTTTGCGCCTGTGTTCTAAGAACATTACACAGACCTGGTTACCACTAGGTCTCTATTGTGGTGAGCCAGGCCACATGAGACTGTCATGCCCCTCTCGCTCTCGCAGAGACCCCACTACTCGGGTGAGTGTCCCCATTCTAGCTCTCAATGTTGATAACTGCATTACTGTTCCTGTCACCATCACTCTCCCTACAAGAGCTGTGTCTGCGCGCGCCATGCTAGACTCTGGGGCGGCTGGGAATTTTATGTCATTGGATTTTGCTCAAGAATGCATCATCTTCTAACTGTTAGCGTTACAGATACTGACTACCCGGGGTTCCCCAATGTCTATCATGATCTAAGTGAAGCTTTCAGCAAATTCAAAGCCTCTCAACTGCCTCCTCACAGACCCTCCGACTGCGCTATCGACCTTCTGCCCGACTCTAGTCCCCCGAAGGGCCGCATATTTCCCCTGTCACAACCAGAATCCGAAGCCATGAACCACTACATTCAGAAGGAACTGGCTAAAGGCTTCATCCAACCCTCCACTTCACCAGCGTCCGCAGGGTTTTTCTTCGTGAAGAAGGAGGGCGGTCTCTGTCCTTGCATCGATTATCGTGGCCTCAATGAAATGACTGTTAAATTTCGTTACCCACTACCCTTAGTACCCTCTGCACTGGAACAGCTGAGAACTGCCAAACTCTTCACCAAGCTGGATTTACGCAGTGCATATAATCTCATTCGGATTCGGGCGGGTGACGAATGGAAAACTGCTTTCTCCAACTGTTAAATTTCGTTACCCCCTACCCATGGTACCCTCTGCACTGGAACAGCTGAGAACTGCCAAACTCTTCACCAAGCTGGATTTACGCAGTGCATATAATCTCATTCGGATTCGGGCGGGTGACGAATGGAAAACTGCCTTCTCCACGACCACTGGGCACTATGAATATCGGGTTATGCCCTTTGGCCTAGTCAACAGTCCATCTATCTTCCAGTCATTCATCAATGACGTCTTCAGGGACATGCTCAACAGGAATGTTATCGTATACATTGACGATATTCTGGTCTATTCCGAAACCCTCGAGGAGCATATCCAACATGTCAGGTCTGTTCTCAAACGTCTAATCCAGCACCAACTGTACGCCAAAGCAGAGAAGTGCGAGTTTCATCTGACATCCCTCTCTTCCTGGGCTACGTGATTAGTCAGGAGGGCGTGGCCATGGATGAGAACAAGGTCAATGCAGTCCTAAAATGGCCACTACCATCTACTATTAAGGAGCTGCAACGTTTCCTGGGATTCGCCAACTTCTATCGTCGCTTCATCAGAGGTTTCAGCTCCGTAGCTGCTCCTCTCACAAATATGACAAAGAGGGGTTCTAGTCGTCTTCACTGGTCACCTATTGCCCGCGAGGCTTTTCAGGAATTGAAGCAACGATTCACCACCGCTCCGATCTTACACCACCCTGACCCCAGTTTCCCATTCATCGTAGAGGTTGACGCTTCCAACATCGGACTAGGGGCAGTGCTATCACAACGTCGGGGCTCACCTGCAAAAATGTTTCCATGTGCTTATTATTCACGCAAGCTCAGCCCAGCGGAGAGAAATTATGATGTTGGTGACAGGGAGTTGTTGGCCATTAAAGCTGCACTCGAGGAATGGCGTCATTGGCTGGAAGGGGCAAAACATTCATTCACGGTTCTAACCGACCATCGTAACCTGGAGTACTTGAGAACGGCTAAGAGACTCAATCCACGTCAGGCTAGGTGGTCTCTGTTTTTCTCCAGGTTTGATTTCACTGTTACCTACCGGCCAGGTTCTAAGAACACAAAGGCAGACGCTCTATCACGGCAATTCGAGAGAGATTCTGACTCCAATAGGCCTGAAAATGTAATTTCCCCGGCTCTCATTGTGTCACCTATCCAGTGGGACATTATTACTGAGATTGAGCAGGCTAATACCGAACACAACGTCCCTGCTGAATGCCCCCAGGATAAGTTATTTGTCCCTGTAGCTCTTCGAGAGAGAACGATCACAGACGTTCATGCTTCGCTCAGCTCAGGACATCCAGGAATTAATGCAACCATCCAACTACTTCAAAACCGGTTCTGGTGGCCATCCCTGAGAAAGGATACTACTAGTCAGATTCATGAATGCAGGGTTTGCAATACACAGAAACCATCCCACCTACTACCAGCAGGACTCCTTCACCCGCTACCCATCCCACAGCGTCCCTGGTCACATATTGCCATCGATTTCGTCACCGACCTACCTAGTTCCAATGGCCATACTACGATCCTTACCATCATTGACCGCTTCTCTAAGGCCTGTCGCCTCATTCCCTTGCCTAAGTTACCCACCGCTCTGGAGACGGCTGAACAATTATGTAATCTAGTCTTCCGCTTCTATGGTTTACCGGAGGATATAGTTTCAACCCGGTATTTAATCGGCCCCGGGGCTAAATTATGAAAGACCGGAGTATCGATAAGCTCTGACGTTAACGGTTCTGCTATCGGTACTAGAGAAATTAAGAAAACACACATACATTTATTATTGCTATAGATACATTGTCTTGCAAATTCTATCTAACCAGAGTCGCCAGCTGTTTTTATATGCAATAATATTCAAACATTTGAATATTGTTAAAACAGTCTATGATGCATTTTTGCTATTCGCAACTCTGAAGCGAGATCGCACTCGTGCGGAGGAGCTTCAGCACGCGCAACATGAAAGTCCTGTTTAATTATGACAGAGGAGAGAACTAAACAAACAAACGTCTGCTTACACTTTAGGCCTGTGGCTGTTTTATTAAGCTATTTTAATTTTTTATTTAAATTTTGGCTTCTAAGGATTATAGCCGCGTTTCTTCTAGCGCAACTATTTTCCCTTCACAGCGGTGCACATTCATTCCTCCCCAAAACCCAAACTTAAAAGTCAGAATCAGCACAATCGGTGATTGTTGAAAAAAGGCTGTCTTATACTGTTGCTAAATTGATGTTTGATAATAAAACGTTGAAAGCACAATCCACACAAGAGACACTGTTCCCCATGCTGAAATGTGTGCACGTGACGCGCTCCAAAACGAACAAGCTATGTACACTTTGAGCTTCAGGCGCGTCCAAACGATGAAATACACACAAAATATGTCAAAATGGCCGGCTCGGAGAGTATTTACTTAAACACATTTTATGTCTTAAGTGGACGAGAACAGTTGTATCGGTAAGAGTAGTAATACCGTTAAAACCTTAACGATACCCATAGTTACCACTGGCTGTGCTGGTTTGTAACCCTGTGCTGATTTGTGCTGCTGTTGGTAGACTGTGTTGGTCATTAGAGATGTAAAAGTATGAAATACTTATCACAATCTTATCACAATTATAGTGACCAAAATTATCACGGTTATCAGTATTATCACGGTATTGTTAAAATGTGCTGGAAATGTTCAAAAAGCACTCACACATAAATCGTTTCACCAAGTCTTATATTTAAAATCAACAAATAACAAATAAAATGACTTTTTGTTTGCATAAACACTAAAACAATAACATTACCAATGATGTCCTGATTTTAAATGACAACATGACACTTTATCTAATAACATGTACGAAATGTGACCCTGGACCACAAAACCAGTCATAAGGGTCAATTTTTTGAAATTTTAAGACTGTTACTTAAAATTTTGCATTATATTATTTTCATTTATCC